ACTGCGGAATGACTCACTTTCTATGAAGTTGGAACCGGGATGACTCGCTTTCTATGAAGTTGAAACTGTGGAATGACTCACTTTCTATGAAGTTGGAACTGAGGGATGACTCGCTGTCTATGTAGTTGAAACTGTGGAATGACTCACTTTCTATGAAGTTGAAACTGTGGAATGACTCACTTTCTATGAAGTTGGAACTGTGGGATGACTCGCTGTCTATGTAGTTGAAACTGTGGAATGACTCACTTTCTATGAAGTTGAAACTGTGGAATGACTCACTTTCTATGAAGTTGGAACTGCGGGATGACTCGCTGTCTATGTAGTTGAAACTGTGGGATGACTCGCTTTCTATGAAGTTGAAACTGTGGAATGACTCACTTTCTATGAAGTTGGAACTGTGGGATGACTCACTTTCTATGAAGTTGAAACTGTGGAATGACTCACTTTCTATGAAGTTGGAACTGTGGAATGACTCACTTTCTATGAAGTTGAAACTGTGGAATGACTCACTTTCTATGAAGTTGGAACTGTGGAATGACTCACTTTCTATGAAGTTGGAACTGTGGGATGACTCGCTTTCTATGAAGTTGGAACTGCGGGATGACTCGCTTTATATGAATTTGGAACTGTGAGATGACTCGCTTTTTTATGAACTTTGCGGAATGACTTGCTTTCTATGAAGTTGGAACTGTGAGATGACTCGCTGTCTATGAAGTTGGAACTGTGAGATGACTCGCTGTCTATGAAGTTGGAACTGTGAGATGACTCGCTTTTTTATGAAGTTTGCGGAATGACTTGCTTTCTATGAAGTTGAAACTGTGGAATGACTCACTTTCTATGAAGTTGGAACTGTGGAATGACTCACTTTCTATGAAGTTGGAACTGTGAGATGACTCGCTGTCTATGAAGTTGGAACTGTGAGATGACTCACTTTCTATGAAGTTGGAACTGTGAGATGACTCACTTTCTATGAAGTTGGAACTGTGAGATGACTCGCTGTCTATGAAGTTGGAACTGTGAGATGACTCACTGTCTATGAAGTTGGAACTGTGAGATGACTCACTGTCTATGAAGTTGGAACTGTGAGATGACTCGCTGTCTATGAAGTTGGAACTGTGAGATGACTCGCTGTCTATGAAGTTGGAACTGTGAGATGACTCGCTGTCTATGAAGTTGGAACTGTGAGATGACTCGCTGTCTATGAAGTTGGAACTGTGAGATGACTCACTTTCTATGAAGTTGGAACTGTGAGATGACTCGCTGTCTATGAAGTTGGAACTGTGAGATGACTCACTTTCTATGAAGTTGGAACTGTGAGATGACTCACTTTCTATGAAGTTGGAACTGTGAGATGACTCGCTGTCTATGAAGTTGGAACTGTGAGATGACTCGCTGTCTATGTAGTTAAAACTGTGGAATGACTCACTTTCTATGAAGTTGGAACTGTGGAATGACTCACTTTCTATGTAGTTGAAACTGTGGAATGACTCACTTTCTATGAAGTTGGAACTGTGGAATGACTCACTTTCTATGAAGTTGGAACTGTGGAATGACTCACTTTCTATGTAGTTGAAACTGTGGAATGACTCACTTTCTATGAAGTTGGAACTGTGGAATGACTCACTTTCTATGAAGTTGGAACTGTGGAATGACTCACTTTCTATGAAGTTGGAACTGCGGGATGACTCACTTTCTATGAAGTTGAAACTGTGGAATGACTCACTTTCTATGAAGTTGGAAATGCGGGATGACTCGCTGTCTATGTAGTTGGAACTGCGGGATGACTCGCTGTCTATGAAGTTGAAACTGTGACCATCTAATTACCTGATTACGAGGAAAGTTTTCAGTTCATAAATTTCTATACTCATAGTCCAAGCCATGTTGGAACTTTTTCGTCTTTCCAGATGTTAGAGTTGTAATGTGCTACTGGGAGGCATGGGAATAGCTGCCCATGGTGAAGGTGAGTGCACCAGTATTGAGAAAAGTCTATGGCACAAGGCCTGGGCATTACTGAAGAGACCATATGTTGTCCATGCAGCATCTCTTAGTCTGCCTTGTTTAGGAAAAAGAAACACTAATTAATTTGGAATAATGCAAGCTGCAGAAGCTGCTGGATCAGAAGAGCAGGGCTTTTTCTGTCTGCCTGCCATAGCTTCCTCCCAAGACCAGCCCCCAACCAAAAGTAAGGACCTGTCCTGTCATAGCATGAAGATTTCATGTTGCATTTCCTCAGCGTATCATAAGGCTAGTATCCTTCTCAATGTGTTCATCTGTTTGAAGCTGTTATCACAGTGTGGGATGTCAGATTTGATATCTGCAGTCCAACATTCAGCATTAAGTCTTTCAGTCCTAGAAGATCCTAGCTGATGCCCGACTAAAGTAATAATAATGACAGAAAAAGCATTGGTATAATTTATCTACAGGGTTCAAATACAAATACACTGTGGTTAGACGTGTGTTGTTGGGCTGCTTTTGTTTGCCTGACTAAACATTTAGTTGATTTAGTTTGCCTGACTAAACTTATGGTTGATGTAGTTTGTCTGACAAAACTTATGGTTGATTTAGCTTGTCTGACTAAACTGATTATGTACATCTATACAGAACATGTTGACTGGGGCACATGATTAATATCCATTACACGTGGTCCAGTGTTTGGGAACTAAAGAGTTTATAGAGACTAGGAATTAGTGACCACTTCTATGATAGCTCATCCATATGGTGCTGCTGGTCATGTATGTCTGCAGCATTCTGTATGTGCTAGCAATCATTTCTGCTACAGATTTTTTTGTCCCCCTGCCATGCCAGTCTGTCCGACATCTTCTCAAGCAAAATTTGAGATCTTTCTACAGCGCATAAGGAAAGCTTTCACAGTATATCAATTCTTCTTCTCCTGACCCATACTTTAGTTCTTAGTTATGTTGGGAAAAGATGTAAGGATATCCTGTGTGTTTTTTCCAATGCACTGTATAAGCTGGTCTTCATTTCTTTAAGGCTGTTTCTGATGCTATCGTTTGATCTTCTATATGGCCTTTCCGGTTCTCTTTGTCCATTGTATTTATTCTGCATGGCTCTCTGTGGTAGCTAGTACCAGAGCATTCTAATTGGCCAAACCATCTGATCTGTTTCACTTAATGTGAATTGTTTGGGCTCTAGTCATATTCTACTTTCTACTACTGTTGCTTATTACATTAATCTTCTTTTTCTTCTTCACATTCATTATCTGTAAACTCTGGTGGAAAGTTCTGGGTCTTTGTCCAGATCTGGAACTTTAGTCTTGTTCCAGAACCTGAGGTTTGCGTGCACACCCGTTTCACATATCTTGATTATTTGTATGCAGATGTACTCTGACTTCGAAGTATGCTTCCAATTAGTCAACTCCTACAACATGCTTCTTGGGGATGAAGTCGGTCTATTCCCGGCAAGGGGGCCCTGGAACCCACACAGGCAGCTTCTTACATTAATGTTTCCACAGTAAAATCTGGTTCCGGGTTCAATCCCCAGTAAGGGCTGGGAATTTTTCACTTCTAGTAATTCGCACTGGTCTCTGGGTAGTGAGATCGGATGTCCATGTGCATTGTTGCGAACCTAAAAAAATCCCTTGGCAGTTGGAAATCGAAAAGAAATAGTCTAAGGCACTGCCTAGGCAAAAGTTGTAGTTAAAAATCTACCCAAAGTATTTCAAGATCCTCGCCAGTGCTAGAGAGCCTGAGCACTGTGCTGAGCTTCTTTGGACACAGACTTGAGTTAGAAGAAGAACGGAGCACTTATGGGTTAGTACCCCTGTGCCATGAGGTTTATCCATTGTTCAAAACCATAAACCTTCAAACCTCAAACTATCTACCTGCCAGCAGTTAAATCTGAGGTGACCTGAATTTTTAATGGCTTAACTCTCTGAGTCCCAAGGAACGCATCATACGTTCATGGCTTCCTACCTAGAAGCCCAGTGAACGCATGATGCGCTGATTTTATGACTTTATTTTCCACCCCCTGGGCCTGTGATGCTAAACCCCCTGGGACTCAAATAGTTAAGCAGTACATGGCTGGATGCTTGCTCGAAGGTCTTTGGTTCAAATCAACACTGAAGCAGATTTGGATAACTAGCTTTGGCTCCCAAGTGTATCCAGCATGAAATGGGTACCAGGAAATGTCATGTAATGTAAGGGCAGTGGATGTTGAGTATATCACCCATCAAAAGATGACTAGCCCATAAGAATATTCATCTAGTATCATATACCAGAAGGGAGCCTCCATCATGTAGTATCTAGATAGGCCTACCCACCTCTGGCCCAAAGGTTGTAGGTTCAAATCCACATTGGCTTCCAGGTGGACCCAGCCTTAAATGGGCACCATGTAAAATCCTGGGAAGTAAAGGCGGCCCGCATAGTGTTGACCACATCACCCAACAAACGCTGATTGGTTTATAAAACACAGGTCGAGCACCATATGCACAATACAACCAATGGCATGGGGAAGTATCCTTTAGCCAAATGTCTCAATAGTGTGAAAATATCTTCACTCCCATGCAGATTCTTCCACTAGAATAATAGGTAGTTATGCATTAAACATGTTTCAAAGCTGTTATTATAACAATCTAAAAATGCAGACAATGTAAATTAAGTTTTTTAAAAAGTATACCCATAAATACCTAGGGAGAATCACCATGGTGTTGGCTGCTAGACGCCTGCCTGTGGATCGGAAGGTCGTGGGTTCACGTTTTGACGGAGCCAGACTTTAAAAAAAAAATGACCTTGACTCCCAGGTTGACCCAGCCTTGAGTGGGTACCAGGTGCAGTCCTGGGAAGTAAAGGCGGCTGGCGTGATGCTGACCACATCACCCGCCAAGTGCCAATTGGTTTATAAAAATTTAGGTCTAGCCCTATATTTCCAATATGCCTAAAGGGGTGGAAAAGGGACCTAAACTTTACTTTATATAAACCTAGGAAAAAGTTTGGCTTACAAGCATTATTCACAATGAACACTTGTGACGGGTGATTACTTACAGCTCGGCAAACTGTGCGGGTAACAAGTGTAGGGTTTCCCCTGGCTCTGTCTGCCAACTCAGAACGATCCAAGATGGAGATAGCAGCAATCAGGCACACATACTCAAACTTGACAGAAAGCAAAGAAGCAATTCAGCACAGATTACATTTATTGATAGCTGTATATAAACAAGTCCCAGACTATAAGTAAACAAGCCAAACAATTTAGTAAAGCTTCAGGGATCTTGTTTCACAGAAAAATGCTTAAAATTCTTGTGCTACCAAAATTAAAATCCTTTGCTACTGTATCGAGCTCACCCTATGTCTTCCTCATCTTTCTAACTTCCCTCCGGAGATCCCTTCTCCCTGTGGTTTTTGGTCTGCCTTTATTCCTATCCCCCCCCCCCCTTCTTGACACCCCTCATCGGTTCCAGAATGTAAAGGTGTTCTAGTCATACTGATCTCAGGGCTTCTCAACTTGTGTCCTGTACTAGGGCAGTATTTTTTCTTCACCATTTGACTGAATGAAATTTGTTTAGTTCTCTGCCAAAGCTCCCCATTAGTGATTCTTTCATATCATTTATTTACCTTTATTCTGCACAGTTTAAGTCGAGAGATTCAACCTCACTGCTCTGTGTTATCCCATATGGCTCAGGAGAATGGCTAGACCAATACACACATATAGCACAAACTCCACAGATTCAGCTACGATCAACTGGTGCAGTTAAAGAATAGGTGTAGTTTCTTAGGAATAATAGTTTTTTGTTTGTTTTCTCCCTATGTGTTGTTTTCCATATTTCACCTTCATTCATCAGTGCTAATTTGATATTAGAGCCAATTATGTACCAAGTGTATCCAGCAACCCTTGAAGGGTTGTTGCCAGAGCTACAAAGTTCATGCTTTGTACGACACTCTCAGTAGGCAGCTAGCCCTTCTATGGAGGGAGAATGAGCCTTATGGTGCAATGAAATAAATCCTCTCCATTGAAAACTCTACATTATCTTTAACCTAAAAAATGATAACGGCAGAGATATGTCTGCTCCAGTAATGGACACATGTAAACACTTTGGTTTCATTCCCTAAAACCTCATTCCATAGAGACGCACTTGAACTCAACTCAAGCATTTTTAAATATATTGTGTCTGTGTATTAGGAAACAATGTAGAAGAAAACGAAGGAGGGTGGGGGGGGGGGGGGGGGGGGGGCTGATATAGCTTTGAAAACAAGAATACTAAAAGCAAGAGCAAATTAAATCATAACCAGTTATTCTTCTTCTTCTTCTCTTTCTCCAGTCACATCATCAACGTGGTGGAGAATATATAATGATCTTCTGTTTGCTCTTTCTAATGTGTTGTATAAATTGGCTTAATTCCTAAAGGCTGTTCTTGATGCTGTCAATCCATATCCTGCACGATCTTCCCCTTGCTCTGTGTTAACTGTTTTGATTCAGTGTGGATCTCTGTGGCAGTTGGAACCATGGTTTTCTCATCAAATGGCTAAACCATCTCATCTGTTGCTCCTCAACTCTACAAATATCTTCACTGTTTTCCTTAAATATTGCCAGAAAAGAATGTTACCACTTGAATAAGAGATACCACCACTGGGGTTGCCAGATTTATTTAGTATACACTGACCAAAACTTATATTTAAGAAGACACGTGAGGTGATATTTGAGGCTTTTTGGGGAACAGTCATAGTATAAATCATAATCATGTGTTTTCTGGGGCTGAAACAGTTATTGAACTGTGCGGCTAATTTCAGAACTAGTATTTGTCTAATTGTTTTCTTCATTTTTCATTTTATCTGGTTACTCAGGCAACTATTCTAAGATGTCATCTCTGTTGTTATGATTCTGCACTCTTCTTCTTCTCAAAGTCCATGCTGTGTGGCGTTGGTAGTCATGTTTATCCACAACCTTATGTCTGGTGTACTTTCAATCAACTCTGTTGCAGATGAGCCTCCATACCATGATGTCAAACTGTCCAGCATCTTTTCTCTCGGTCTCCCTCTGCCTCTCCTCCCCTCCAACTTTGCTACTGTCACCATGTACTCCAGTTTTCCCCTTCTCAACACATGACCAAAGAATGTAAATTGTCATTTTCTGATGTGGAGAATCATTAGTTAGTAAAAGTCCAAGTCTGATACTGGTAGCATCATGTTACTCCCCCTCCCAAAGTTTTTACTAGATCTGCATTGGCGGACAAAGGTATACTTCTATATGCCAAAAGTGGTGTTAGTTGTCCCAAGATCTAGTTTGCTTTAGCACATCATGTGATTTCTCTATCCATTCTTCTTTCTGTTGTGAAAATTTGACCCCAGATATTAAAATTTACATGTCTAAACCGGGCCTTCTTGAGCCAAAATTGAACTCTGTAATCTCCAACATAATCCACAAACACCTTGTATTTACATTTGGCTACAATATACTCCTTCTATCGAAATCTGGCATCCCAATTACAAACAGGCACTGTGTATTTAACCACAATGATAGTAATGCACTAATCATTTTTTTCATAGTCCTTATTTTGTTTCCTGGCTGGGATTAATGGAAGCTGTTTTTTCTGCTCCAGTGAAAAGGGTGTGTTGGGGGGGGGGGGGGGAAGGGGGGGTTGGAAGGGGGAGCACAGCTTCTGTTAAAAAGGGGATGGGTAGTTCAGTTCATGGTTACTGGGCGTTTCATGATATTTTTGTTATTCAAGGTGAGGGCTCAAGCTGTATTATCTAAACATTTGAATGTATTATTCTTTACTGTATTTTTTTTTTTTTCAAGAGCTAAAACACTGATTTTGTTGGAGGTACAAATAAATGTAAGCCCATTTTACTGGTAATTTACATTTGGTTATTTCTGTGAGTGGTTGTTTAGACATGACCCAATGCGCTGCCCAAGGATTTCCAGTCTAATATGGAGGGCTAGGCATGGCAGAATGTTTAGCTTCAAAGTTATCTTTGCTTCCGACAGAGCTTTGCTAATGCAGTTTCCACACATGGACGCTAGTCTACAGCTATTGAGTTTAGTGCTTGGTGCAGCCCTGTGAGCTGTGTTTATTTTTTTATTTTTTCATGTGGAATGTCTCTCATGTGTACAGCAGCTAAGTCATGGTGTTTAATATGGCCGGTAGCCGGTTTACATGCAGGTTGGTCAAATACCTTTTGTAATAATTCTACGTATGTATAGCTAACTTATTGTATCTGACTACTTCCATAACAGACAAACTGCATTTCTGGTGGCGACTGTTAGCTTTGGCATCTCTAGCAACTGCTATATGCATTTATTGCGTGTGTATACTTCTGCATTGTTCCAGGACTAATTGTAATGAGACAGTGAGGGACATTTCATTTTATTTTCACTGGTACAAAAACAGTGCGGTGATGTTGAAACCTTGACTACGACTTTGACTACAACTGCCCAAGATGGCCATGTATCTGGGCTGCTAGCCACAGAAATACACATAAACTTAAGGACAATTTAGGATAAAGTTGCATCATTGGTGACTGGTTGGCTGGCCAGTAGATGACTTCGTCGTCGGTCGGGACAGTATTTGGATCTGTCCCTCTTGATCGCATTAACACTGCAAAAGTTTTTTTCACTGCTACTTGATGGTGAGCAATGCTAATCCATTTTATATATAAGCACATAAACCTAGTCCCAATTATTATCAAAAGCTTCCCCCTTGGGGGGACACTGGCTGAACGTGATAATTTGTTTCACAAAATCAGTCAAGTCAATGATAAAGCGGAAATGAAACATAAATCAGAAAGAAAAATCAAGACACAAACCTGTCCAAAATTCCATGGTCGAACATAATATTTCTCAACAGAACCTAACCAAATTCTGCCAGTTTCATTAAGGACATACTCCTTACGATCAGGCTCTCCAGACAGATATACAGCATCATCTGAAAGACACAAATATTTTTTCTGTTAACTCTTTTAGTCCCAGGCTGTGACTTTATTTTTCCTCAGAATGTATACTGTTCAAAAAGAGATACACATAGTTATTCGATGGTGCCTTTTTATAAGGTGACAGGAAAACCTGAAAGACTGAAAAATATCTATGACCAGGTGCATTAGAGTTTTAGTTTAGTTGAACCCTAAGGTAGTCTTGTGCACAGTTTGAACAATTTCACTCAAAAAGTTACAAAGATTTTGATTGTCAAAATTATGTTTCTTTCAGTATCTATGTGTAAATTACTTTTTTTTTTAGTACTAAAGCACCAGTGGATAACTATGCATATGGTATAGTATCCTCAGATGTATCATATCTGAAAGTGGACTTGTCCAGAGTTTTGGTTACATAAGGGGAAAAAATATATTTAGAAATGCCTACATGGGACATTCCGCTATGAGAGCTATAACTACTAACACAGGAACTACAACTACCAACATGAGCACTACAACTACCAACATGAGCACTACAACTACCAACATGAGCACTACAACTACCAACACAGGCACTACAACTACCAACATGAGCACTACAACTACCAACACAAGCACTACAACTACCAACACAGGTACTACAACTACCAACATGAGCACTACAACTACCAACATGAGCACTACAACTACCAACATGAGCACTACAACTACCAACATGAGCACTACAACTACCAACACAGGCACTACAACTACCAACATGAGCACTACAACTACCAACATGAGCACTACAACTACCAACATGAGCACTACAACTACCAACATGAGCACTACAACTACCAACATGAGCACTACAACTACCAACATGAGCGCTACAACTACCAACACAGGCACTACAACTACCAACACAAGCACTACAACTACCAACACAAGCACTACAACTACCAACACAGGCACTACAACTACCAACACAGGCACTACAACTACCAACATGAGTACTACAACTACCAACATGAGCACTACAACTACCAACACACTACACTACAACTACCAACATGAGCACTACAACTACCAACACAGGCACTACAACTACCAACATGAGCACTACAACTACCAACACAAGCACTACAACTACCAACACAGGTACTACAACTACCAACACAGGCACTACAACTACCAACATGAGCACTACAACTACCAACACAGGCACTACAACTACCAACACAGGCACTACAACTACCAACATGAGCACTACAACTACCAACATGAGCACTACAACTACCAACATGAGCACTACAACTACCAACATGAGCACTACAACTACCAACATGAGCACTACAACTACCAACATGAGCACTACAACTACCAACATGAGCACTACAACTACCAACATGAGCACTACAACTACCAACATGAGCACTACAACTACCACATGAGCACTACAACTACCAACATGAGCACTACAACTACCAACATGAGCACTACAACTACCAACATGAGCACTACAACTACCAACATGAGCACTACAACTACCAACATGAGCACTACAACTACCAACATGAGCACTACAACTACCAACACAGGTACTACAACTACCAACATGAGCACTACAACTACCAACATGAGCACTACAACTACCAACATGAGCACTACAACTACCAACATGAGCACTACAACTACCAACATGAGCACTACAACTACCAACACAGGTACTACAACTACCAACATGAGCACTACAACTACCAACACAGGTACTACAACTACCAACATGAGCACTACAACTACCAACACAGGCACTACAACTACCAACATGAGCACTACAACTACCAACACAGGCACTACAACTACCAACATGAGCACTACAACTACCAACACAGAGTACTACAACTACCAACATGAGCACTACAACTACCAACATGAGCACTACAACTACCAACACAGGTACTACAACTACCAACATGAGCACTACAACTACCAACACAGGCACTACAACTACCAACATGAGCACTACAACTACCAACACAGGTACTACAACTACCAACATGAGCACTACAACTACCAACACAGGTACTACAACTACCAACATGAGCACTACAACTACCAACACAGGCGCTACAACTACCAACACAGGTACTACAACTACCAACACAGGCACTACAACTACCAACACAGGCACTACAACTACCAACATGAGCACTACAACTACCAACACAGGTACTACAACTACCAACATGAGCACTACAACTACCAACACAGGTACTACAACTACCAACACAGGTACTACAACTACCAACACAGGCACTACAACTACCAACACAGGCACTACAACTACCAACATGAGCACTACAACTACCAACACAGGCACTACAACTACCAACATGAGCACTACAACTACCAACACAGGCACTACAACTACCAACATGAGCACTACAACTACCAACACAGGCACTACAACTACCAACATGAGCACTACAACCACCAACATGAGCACTACAACTACCAACATGAGCACTACAACTACCAACATGAGCACTACAACTACCATAACAGGTACTACAACTATCAACATGAGCACTACAACTACTAACATGAGCACTACAACTACCAACACAGGCACTACAACTACCAACACAGGCACTACAACTACCAACATGAGCACTACAACTACCAACACAGGCACTACAACTACCAACATGAGCACTACAACTACCAACACAGGCACTACAACTACCAACATGAGCACTACAACTACCAACACAGGCACTACAACTACCAACATGAGCACTACAACTACCAACACAGGCACTACAACTACCAACACAGGCACTACAACTACCAACACAGGCACTACAACTACCAACACAGGCACTACAACTACCAACACAGGTACTACAACTACCAACATGAGCACTACAACTACCAACACAGGTACTACAACTACCAACATGAGCACTACAACTACCAACACAGGCACTACAACTACCAACACAGGTACTACAACTACCAACATGAGCACTACAACTACCAACACAGGCACTACAACTACCAACATGAGCACTACCAACACAACTACAACACAAGGCACTACAACTACCAACATGAGCACTACAACTACCAACATGAGCACTACAACTACCAACACAGGCACTACAACTACCAACATGAGCACTACAACTACCAACACAGGCACTACAACTACCAACATGAGCACTACAACTACCAACACAGGCACTACAACTACCAACATGAGCACTACAACTACCAACACAGGCACTACAACTACCAACATGAGCACTACAACCACCAACATGAGCACTACAACTACCAACATGAGCACTACAACTACCAACATGAGCACTACAACTACCAACACAGGTACTACAACTATCAACTTGAGCACTACAACTACTAACATGAGCACTACAACTACCAACACAGGCACTACAACTACCAACATGAGCACTACAACTACCAACACAGGTACTACAACTACCAACATGAGCACTACAACTACCAACACAGGCACTACAACTACCAACATGAGCACTACAACTACCAACACAGGTACTACAACTACCAACACAGGCACTACAACTACCAACACAGGCACTACAACTACCAACACAGGCACTACAACTACCAACATGAGCACTACAACTACCAACACAGGCACTACAACTACCAACATGAGCACTACAACTACCAACACAGGCACTACAACTACCAACATGAGCACTACAACTACCAACACAGGCACTACAACTACCAACATGAGCACTACAACTACCAACACAGGCACTACAACTACCAACATGAGCACTACAACTACCAACATGAGCACTACAACTACCAACACAGGTACTACAACTACCAACATGAGCACTACAACTACCAACATGAGCACTACAACTACCAACATGAGCACTACAACTACCAACACAGGTACTACAACTACCAACATGAGCACTACAACTACCAACACAGGTACTACAACTACCAACACAGGTACTACAACTACCAACACAGGCACTACAACTACCAACATGAGCACTACAACTACCAACACAGGCACTACAACTACCAACATGAGCACTACAACTACCAACACAGGCACTACAACTACCAACATGAGCACTACAACTACCAACACAGGTACTACAACTACCAACATGAGCACTACAACTACCAACACAGGCACTACAACTACCAACACAGGTACTACAACTACCAACATGAGCACTACAACTACCAACACAGGTACTACAACTACCAACACAGGTACTACAACTACCAACATGAGCACTACAACTACCAACACAGGTACTACAACTACCAACATGAGCACTACAACTACCAACACAGGCACTACAACTACCAACATGAGCACTACAACTACCAACATGAGCACTACAACTACCAACACAGGCACTACAACTACCAACATGAGCACTACAACTACCAACACAGGTACTACAACTACCAACATGAGCACTACAACTACCAACACAGGCACTACAACTACTACAATGATGAGCACTACAACTACCAACACAGGCACTACAGGCACTACAACTACCAACATGAGGCACTACAACTACCAACAACATGAGCACTACAACTACCAACATGAGCACTACAACTACCAACACAGAGCACTACAACTACCAACACAGGCACTACAACTACCAACACAGCACTACACTACAACTACCAACATGAGCACTACAACTACCAACCAACTACAACTACCAACATGAACTACTACCAACACAGGCACTACAACTACCAACATGAGCACTACAACTACCAACACAGGCACTACAACTACCAACATGAGCACTACAACTACCAACACAGGCACTACAACTACCAACATGAGCACTACAACTACCAACACAGGCACTACAACTACCAACATGAGCACTACAACTACCAACACAGGCACTACAACTACCAACATGAGCACTACAACTACCAACATGAGCACTACAACTACCAACACAGGCACTACAACTACCAACATGAGCACTACAACTACCAACATGAGCACTACAACTACCAACATGAGCACTACAACTACCAACACAGGCACTACAACTACCAACATGAGCACTACAACTACCAACATGAGCACTACAACTACCAACACAGGCACTACAACTACCAACATGAGCACTACAACTACCAACATGAGCACTACAACTACCAACATGAGCACTACAACTACCAACATGAGCACTACAACTACCAACATGAGCACTACAACTACCAACATGAGCACTACAACTACCAACATGAGCACTACCACCAACATGAGCACTACAACTACCAACATGAGCACTACAACTACCAACATGAGCACTACAACCACCAACATGAGCACTACAACTACCAACATGAGCACTACAACTACCAACATGAGCACTACAACCACCAACATGAGCACTACAACCACCAACATGAGCACTACAACTACCAACATGAGCACTACAACCACCAACATGAGCACTACAACTACCAACATGAGACCAACATGAGCACTACAACTACCAACATGAGCACTACAACCACCAACATGAGCACTACAACTACCAACATGAGCACTACAACCACCAACATGAGCACTACAACTACCAACATGAGCACTACAACCACCAACATGAGCACTACAACTACCAACAAGCACTACAACTACCAACATGAGCACTACAACTACCAACATGAGCACTACAACTACCAACATGAGTACTACAACTACCAACATGAGCACTACAACTACCAACATGAGCACTACAACTACCAACATGAGCACTACAACTACCAACATGAGCACTACAACTACCAACATGAGCACTACAACTACCAACATGAGCACTACAACTACCAACACAGGCACTACAACTACCAACATGAGCACTACAACTACCAACATGAGCACTACAACTACCAACATGAGCACTACAACTACCAACATGAGCACTACAACTACAACACATGGCACTACAACTACCAACATGAGCACTACAACTACCAACATGAGCACTACAACTACCAACATGAGCACTACAACTACCAACATGAGCACTACAACTACCAACACAGCACTACAACTACCAACATGAGCACTACAACTACCAACATGAGCACTACAACTACCAACATGAGCACTACAACTACCAACATGAGCACTACAACTACCAACATGAGCACTACAACTACCAACACAGGCACTACAACTACCAACACAGGCACTACAACTACCAACATGAGCACTACAACTACCAACATGAGCACTACAACTACCAACATGAGCACTACAACTACCAACACAGGCACTACAACTACCAACATGAGCACTACAACTACCAACATGAGCACTACAACTACCAACATGAGCACTACAACTACCAACATGAGCACTACAACTACCAACATGAGCACTACAACTACCAACATGAGCACTACAACTACCAACATGAGCACTACAACTACCAACATGAGCACTACAACTACCAACATGAGCACTACAACTACCAACATGAGCACTACAACTACCAACACAGGCACTACAACTACCAACACAGGCACTACAACTACCAACATGAGCACTACAACTACCAACACAGGCACTACAACTACCAACATGAGCACTACAACTACCAACACAGGCACTACAACTACCAACATGAGCACTACAACTACCAACATGAGCACTACAACTACCAACACAGGCACTACAACTACCAACATGAGCACTACAACTACCAACACAGGCACTACAACTACCAACATGAGCACTACAACTACAACATGGAGCACTACACTACCACACAGGCACTACAACTACCAACATGAGGCACTACAACTACCAACACAGGCACTACAACTACCAACACAGGCACTACAACTACCAACACAGGCACTACAACTACCACACAGTCACCTACACACAAGCACTACAACTACCAACATGAGCACTACAACTACCAACACAAAGCACTACAAACTACCAACACAGAGCACTACAACTACCAACATGAGCACTACAACTACCAACACAGGCACTACAACTACCAAACATGAGCACTACAACTACTAACACAGGCACAACAACTACTAACACAGGCACAACAACTACTAACACAGGCACAACAACTACTAACACAGGCACTACAACTACTAACACAGGCACTACAACTACTAACACAGGCACAACAACTACTAACACAGGCACAACAACTACTAACACAGGCACAACAACTACTAACACAGGCACAACAACTACTAACACAGGCACTACAACTACCAACACAGGCACTACAACTACCAACATGAGCACTACAACTACCAACACAGGCACTACAACTACCAACACAGGCACTACAACTACCAACACAGGCACTACAACTACCAACACAGGCACTACAACTACTAACACAGGCACTACAACTACCAACACAGGCACTACAACTACTAACACAGGCACTACAACTACCAACACAGGCACTACAACTACCAACACAGGCACTACAACTACCAAACATGGCACTACAACTACCAACACATGAGCAACTACCAACAAGCACTACAACTACCACACAGGTACTACAACTACCAACATAAGCACTACAACTACCAACACAGGCACTACAACTACCAACATGAGCACTACAACTACCAACATGAGCACTACAACTACCAACACAGAGCACTACAACTACCAACATGAGCACTACAACTACCAACACAGGCACTACAACTACCAACACAGGCACTACAACTACCAACACAGGCACTACAACTACCAACACAGGCACTACAACTACTACAAACACAGCACTACAACTACCAACACAGAGCACTACAACTACCAACACAGGCACTACAACTACCAACATGAGCACTACAACTACCAACACAGGCACTACAACTACCAACATGAGCACTACCCAACACACTACAACTACCAACATGAGCACTACAACTACCAACATGAGCACTACAACTACCAACATGAGCACTACAACTACCAATACCACAGCACTACAACTACCAACATGAGCACTACAACTACCAACACAAGCACTACAACTACCAACATGAGCACTACAACTACCAACACAGGCACTACAACTACAACACAACAATGAGGCTACCTACAACTACCAACACACAAAGCACTACAACTACCAACATGAGCACTACAACTACCAACACAGGCACTACAACTATCAACACAGGCACTACAACTACCAACACAGGCACTACAACTACCAACATGAGCACTACAACTACCAACACAGGCACTACAACTACCAACATGAGCACTACAACTACCAACACAAGCACTACAACTACCAACATGAGCGCTACAACTACCAACACAGGAACTACAACTATCAACACAGGAACTACAACTACCAACACAGGCACTACAACTACCAACATGAGCACTACAACTACCAACACAAGCACTACAACTACCAACATGAGCACTACAACTACCAACACAGGCACTACAACTACCAACATGAGCACTACAACTACCAACACAGGCACTACAACTACCAACATGAGCACTACAACTACCAACACAGGCACTACAACTACCAACATGAGCACTACAACTATCAACACAAGCACTACAACTACCAACACAGGCACTACAACTACCAACATGAGCACTACAACTATCAACACAAGCACTACAACTACCAACACAGGCACTACAACTACCAACATGAGCACTACAACTACCAACACAAGCACTACAACTACCAACACAGGCACTACAACTACCAACACAGGTACTACAACTACCAACATGAGCACTACAACTACCAACATGAGCACTACAACTACCAACATGAGCACTACAACTACCAACATGAGCACTACAACTACCAACATGAGCACTACAACCACCAACATGAGCACTACAACTACCAACATGAGCGCTACAACTATCAACACAGGCACTACAACTACCAACATGAGCACTACAACTACCAACATGAGCACTACAACTACCAACACAGGCACTACAACTACTAACATGAGCACTAAACGCAGGCTCTCTACCTAAAGATCTTATTCTCTTACCTTTTTGCCAGGGATTGAACAGGATGAAGATGTCGTCAGGATGTTTATACCTCCACTTCTCAACGATGTCATCTTTCAGGTGTTGTGTATCTATGAAGAGCTCATATCTGCCAACAATAGCATCGCTTCCAGAGCTGACTCGCAGCGTCACTGACCTAATGGGAAAGTAAAAGAAAACATCTCTTAAGATATATTATATGGGACTGTTCTATCTTTGTAAGCCCCAAATGAAGCATAGGCTCTCAACCAACTTCTGCGAAGTCATTCTATCTTTCGCTTTTGCAGGCAGCTCTCCCCATGTCCTCCCTATCTTTTTGCTCTCCAGCTCCCTTCTCCCTGTTTTTGTGTGTGTGTGGGTCTTCCTTTATTTCTATGCCCCTGTGGCTTCCAGTGCAGAGACAGTCTTATTATATAGTTCTTAGGTTTTTCTCAGTATGTGTTCTATCCAACGTCGGCATCTTTTTTTTCACCCTTTGGTCCACTGGAACTTTAGTTCTCTCCCAAAGTTTGTTCCGCATTAGCGATTTTTATCTTAACATTTAATTTCCTCTATTCTGTCCAAGCATCAGTGAATTTTTATAGTTTATTATTAATTGCCTTGGTTGTTCTCTCAATGTTTCCACCTACCCAAAAAAAAAAAAAAACGACAAAAAAAAATTTGGGGAGGAGGGGCTTCGAAGGGGGCGGGGACGCGGCTAGCAAAGCCTTGTTTGAATGCATAATAATCAGAATAAGGTGTTTAGGGAAAAAAATAATATTTGAAATAATAAACGTATTAACAGATTTAACAAGTGAAATTGTGTCTATAGATGGTTGGGGGCGGGGTGGGGGTTGGGACTTAATACAAAACGTAAAGAATACTTTACCGCGGCTGCAGGCGTGCACTCGTACAGTCGTACAGGGCTAGATCAAAACTGTACAGACCAATCGGGGTCTGTGGCTTAGGAATTGCGAACGCGGTTCGATCCCAGCTGCGGGCCTTGCACCTTGCATTGGTTTCGGCAGTGACATCGAGAAGCCGACTGTCGAGACAGCCTTGGCAAAGTACTGGACGTAAATTTGTCTAAAAAACCACAACAGCCAAACAAATGCTGGGGGTTGGTTTTGCAACGTCCTGTAAAGGATACACAACTAACAATACCACCTGGCACTCAGGGGGTGGGGGCAAAGTTAACATGTCGCCGGCAACTTTTACTTTACTTCCCAAGGTCTGACTGACTTTCTACCCCACCAGGACATCACACAAGCGATAAACACCCGATGACACAAAGTGCCACCATGCGGATGAGGATCGCAGTGGAGAGGTCCCAGAAACCGCGTTCAGACATTTGGCCATATATATGGCCTGCCTATATTGCGGCCCCTGGCAAAAGCCAGAGTAGGGCTTCAAATGACAAAAAATTTCGTCCTAAAAAGGACGAAACTGGATATAATGCTTCCCAGGGTTTAACTAGTGCCTTTTTAAGGTTGGGTCGAACTGGAGAGCCAAGGTCATTAAAAAAATACCTGGTTCCGTGAGAATCTGAACTCACAACCTTCGGATCAGCAGGGGGAAAATGGGGGGGGGGGGGGGGGGGTGGGGGGATTTATGTGGCGGCTGTATTTTAACACGGACATCTTGCTGCGTAAGTAATAACGGTCCCAAATGATCTACGCAGAAAGTTAACCCTAACAGAGCCTCACTTATATCTAAAATTCGCATTTCTTTTTCGGCGAATCTACCGCGTTAAAAGTAGGATTAATTGCGCACGACATTTTCGAGAAACGCAACGGACTTTTTCACGACGATTAAACGGCGCCAAAACTAGGATTAACCTGGGACGAAAAATTAGCGACACACAAGATTACTCCCGATAGCACATTCCTACGGCAGGGCCACAGTTATATGTAAGTTGCGGACCACTTTTCGCCGCTATAGTGCTACCTCCAAGAGTATCCCCGCGCCGCGCGTAGCTGGGTTTAACTAGATGGCTGGGACTTACGAACAGCAGCAACCACTTCTCCTGCAGCTTCCTCCATTGTTTTTGCTCGTGAGTCCTAGTCATCTAGTTTAGTCCCTCGGATGTGGCACTATAGTAGCAAGGAAACAGTCATGAGCTACTTCTTCCGTCGCAACTGCCAGCGTGGTCAAGGGGTGGTCGGGATAGAGGAGCGCCATAGTGGCAGCTGCTGGTTTGAAGTTGTACCGAGGCGACGGGCGCGTACATTAAAACGCACATTATTGATTACGGACAGACAGAAAGAAAAGATATTCGGGCACTATTTGCAACTTCTGTGCTGCAATTTTCACATATAAAGGATTTAACTGTCGGTAAGTAGTAAACTTCGCCGTTTCCCTCATACTTTTCGTTTCTTATATTTTCCGAGCTACAACTTTTAAATCTTTGTAGGGTTGGACGTAATGAGGCTCTGTTAGGATTAACTTTCTGCGTAGATCATTTGGGACCGTTATTTAAAGGAGAGCCACAAACTGTAATTATAATAATTATAATAACAACAGCAACAACAACATCAAAAACAGTAATAATAAATGAAACAAAAAGCTGCCCTGTTACCAATGTGGACGTGGGCCATTTACAAAAGAACCTATTTTAAACATAACACCGAGATTTTCTGGTAACTGTCCGAGCTTATGAAAAGCATTGAAGCTGTCTGTATGCAATACTAAAACAATGGAACACGAAATAAGGGTTACAGAAGATAAAACAGGTGCCCCAGAAAATGTGCAAGGGGAGTGAAGGCCGGTCATGTTTTCTTTGTATCGCTGCCCCACCCACAGGAGCACCATGGTGCACCCTGTTGTTGTAGGCAAGCAGAAACATAATATTTGATTTCCAAAGGGAAATCACGTTTTATGAAACATTATTTAAAATGTGATAATGTCATTATTGCTATTTATAGTTCTCTTAGTATTGCAGGGTTATCCGCAGAAAACGTATTTTTTCTAAGAATGCAACCCACTATCTTTCTTCTGATTCAGGGGCATCGTCATACCCACCCACACACACACACGCACACACACGCACGCGCACACACACATACACACACATTGTTGGCGCTTGGGGGTGGGCACGAGTTCCATTGCAAATTGTCTAAGAGCGCCCTAAGTCACTTACAAATTGTTTAGGTAGATCCTCAAACCTTTTAAAGTGCGTAATAATAATGTTCTAGATGAAAAAAAATAAGTTTATATTAGAAAAAAATTGCACTGTATTATCAGTAACAACAAATACATACAAATATAATTTACTTTGCTCGTAAATAGCATTGTTTCTTGGAAAAGTCATTTATTCATTCATTCACGCATTCATTCCTTCATTCATTTGTTTATTCATTGATTCTTTCGTTCATTCATTCATTCATTCATTCATTTATTCATTTATCTATTAAATCATTCATTAATTCATTCTTCCATTCTCTGTTCATTCATTCATCGTCCTTTTGTGCCATCGCATATCACATAGGACTCGCCGCTGTTCATTCCGTTCTATCCTAGGAATCATTTCAATATTATGGATGGAATCACTTCTCCTGCGCTGCAGTCTTCTTTGTTTACCAGCTCTAAACTCCAGCGGACAGTGCAGGTTGTTCGACCATTTAGACTTTTGCTTTGTGCCAGGGCCTGAGTTTTGCGTGTACATCCGTTTTAATGGCTTATTTGTGTGCAGTTCGTTGTTCCCTGCCTCTCAGGTAAATGCATGCCAGCTTCAAAGAAACCCCCAGTTAGTCGACTTCTGTGATATGTTTATTAGGGAGGCAGTGGGGCTATTTTTGTTTCCCACACAATGGGGCCCTGGAACCCACACGGGAAGAATGGAATCCAGTCCAGCAGCTTTGGCCTCTCTCATCAAGTTTCACTTTAGGGTTTGATTGGGTGTCCTCGCCTACGTAATCACTATTTTAAACGCGTTAGTACATATTTACCTTTCTATTCTTTTCGACAGTGGTATCAAGCAGCCGACAGTACAGAAAGCAATGGCAAACTACTTGATGTAAGTTTGTCTAAAAAAACCATAACAGCCAAAAAAAAAAAAAAAATGCTGGGTTGGTTCTGTAACGTCATGTAAAAGGTACGCTACTATTACTACTAACTTTGTAGTACCTGTTTGGTGATTCGCTCCTCTTTTATTTTCAGGACATGTCCAATGTAGCGCCGTTTTCTCTGTCTTATAACAGTTGATACTAGCGGTTGCCCCAGACATTCTCTTATTTCTTCAGCTCTTTTTAATTCATCCCATTTATTTTTCGTCCTCATGCATTTGTTTCAGATGACATTAAACTTTCGTTCCTGCCTTTGGTGGCTCTCCAGCTATCACTAGCATATGTTAAAACTGAAATAACAGTTTAATTAAAAATGTGTAACTTGGTTTTAAAACTCAACAAATTAGAGTTCAATATTTTCTTCAGACTATTAAAAGCTGCTCGCGTATCACCAGTGGGTGTCATAATTTATTTCTTCATATATTTCTTCCCTTTCAAAATTACTACCGAAATAAGCATTGATGTGTTACTTTAATTACTTTTCTCTCTAATATGACACATGCTTGATCTGATATTGGTATCTTAAGTATATTTTCACAACTTTTTGAAGTCCAACCTTTGATGTCATGTTTGCTAAATCAGGAAAATGAAATACTACGGCTTCATTAAACGTCATAACTGTTTCAAAATAACACCAGTGAAGGGTATGGTTTCTCAAAGAAGAGGCAGAGGTCGATCAGCAGAAAAGTGGATAGAGGCTATCAATGATACTCATAGTATGAAAATTCACAAAACGGGAACATTGGCAGATACCGAGTGTATATAACGTGCACTATAATGACAGCCACGTTCTGCACAGGACCTGCTACATCAGGCATGTCAAACTTAGGGTTCATCGAGGGCTCTGTAGGTGTCAGGTTTGTGTTGCTATGAGGGACATGCATGACTACAAACTAAAGTTATCAAGTTATCTAATAACAATTACTGCAGTATATATATATATATATATATATATATATATATATATATATATATATATATATATATATATATATATATTGCAGGCCCCATATGTATATGCAAAGGGCTGCATGTTTGAAATTCTTATGCTGCATGATTATGGTAAACATAGTCCTATCTAAAGATCAGTTTGCTGAAAAGTTATATAGACTGGCTAGTACTTAAACGTTTGCAGCTTTGTAAATCTCAAATTTTCGTATTAATCACGTGGTTATCTTGAACTTCCTATTTTGAGATATATACTTTAACTAGAATTATGATATGAATGGAAAGGATTCATATTTTCGGTTTTATTATCCGTTGACGTAATTCTCTAGCAATGCACCTGACGAAATACAGCAATATATACATGGCAATAAATTGTAAAATGCATTGTTTATGTCTGAATTATTAAATTAACTACAAGAAAACATTGTTTTGGACAACTTAGTTAGTTAAACAGGTTATAATGTTACTCACTTTTCCTGGACTGCAGCCAGTTCAAATCCCCACTGGCCATCCTGGATCCTATCCACCTGCACTACAGGAACTACACTGCCTCGACTCTGAGTTGGTCGGCTTCCTGCAGATTTTATGAAGAGTAACTGTATTACTATTATTATCATCGTGGTTTAAATTTTGTTTAAATAGAAACAAATACTGGTATTTGCGATACGGTAGAAGCATGCAAGTTAAAAATCTACCGGGCGGGCACATTTTTTTTTTCTCCCTCTATTTTTTTTTTTATGGTGGCGGGTACATAACAAAGCGCAAAGAGCGGCGACGCCCTAAAAAAATCGGGGGATTTTTAACTTATATACTACTCATGGTGTTTACAGTTGGTGTCGATACTCACAGCAAAATATCTATTTCAAAAGAGCTGAAATTTGTTTGCCTGAAACTAATGCCGGTACTGCGTGTCGTTGTGTAAATTAAAATGTATACTGTCTCCACAATAAAGGTTAGTTACAGTGCATCCTCTGCTGTCTTTAGTAATGCATAGCAGGTCCTTTTTTTTTTCCGCAGTGCCCCCCCCCCCCCCGCACCCTTCTTTTTACTCCTGAAAATTGGACGTCAGTACACAAGGATTCTACTTCTTCTTCTTCTTCTTCTTTTTCTTCTTCTTCTTCTTCTTCTTCTTCTTCTTCTTCTTCTTCTTCTTCTTCTTCTTCTTCTTCTTCTTCTTCTTCTTCTTCTTCTTCTTCTTCTTCTTCTGAGTTCGACATCAGTCATGCTACACATTGAGTCCCGTCTGAGTCACAGATAGGATTGTGCGTTTAAGGTCGCCACCGTTCCCCCATAGCTTCTCTTGCAATGTGGCTCCCTTGGGCCAGATCCACAATCTTTGCTGGGAGAGGTTAGGGCAGTACTGTAGTATGTGCCCAGGGGTCTGTCTTTCTGCTCCACAATCACAGGCAGTAGATTCTGTTATGCCTATCCTGTAAGGTGTGCTCGAAGACCACAGTGTCCAGTCAGAACTCTTTTCGACAGTGGCGAGGAAAGACAATTTAAATTTTAACTTTTAAGTATCTTCATGCTCTCTTTAATAATGTCACAATTTATAGCCGATTTTTTTAAATTTTCGCCGCGGCTCCTCTGGCATACGCACCCAGTTTGAGAGCCTCTGCTGTAATGCCTCGGTCGAGTCAAGACCTTGCCAGCTGCTGTACCGCGCAACCGGGACGCAGTTTCCCCTGCTACGACAGACTTGGGCAATGGCAACTATTGTGTTAATGAGAGAGTTATTTCAGTCCATCATAGAGTATCCAAAACGGGCGTAAGGGAACCACTATTCGTATTCGGCCCGACCGCAAGTATTCGACCGAATACCGAATAGTCCACTATTCGGCCCCGAAGCGAATACGAAGCGAATATTCGGTACAGCCCTACTTTTCCGGATGGTATTAATAAGGAGAAGGATCTCAAAGACAGACGACAGGACACTATCATTATCATCAAGTGCCTTTCCGACCGCCGTGGGCGATCATGCTTCTCCACAATCTGTGATCCGCAGTCTTAGGAAGTAAAGGCGGCCGATGTGGTACTGACAACATTACCCACCAAGTGCCGATGGTCTATAAAATTTAGATCTAGCCCTATATACCTAATACTCCCGAGGCGTAAAAAATGTCCTCTTTTTATTTATGACGTTCAGTAGTTTGCCATTGCCCTTAGAACATAAATCAACTCAAAGCGTTCTGTTGCTAAATCGCCTGCAGCTGAAATCCAAACCGATGTTACGGAATTACAGAGCAGGTTCGCAAATCCCAAAGCAACAGACGCCGACACATAACGAGTTATCTTTTCACAATTTCCCCACTTGAACTGAGTTATTTACTTGCAAAATCGGCATGCTGAAAGTGTCTGGCTGGCAGTTGAAGTCTGTAGCCAAACTAGTTCAAGATGTGTGTGGTTTTACTTTCTGTGTTCATGGGTTATGTACAATGGTGAAATGAAGGGAGTGGGGGTGGTTGATGGAAGATTGATGGAGGTAGGTGACGGGCGAATTGACCTTTTTGGCTGGGTGAATGAACAGATGAAAGAATGAGGTAATGTGTGGACTGATTGAGGAAAATATGCACGGATGGATTGATAGATGGATGAAAATGTGAACGGTTTGGTGGGTGAATGGTTTGGTAAATGAGGAAATGAATGAATGGATAAATAAATGAGGAAATGAAGGAATGGATAAATAAATGAGGAAATGAATGAATGGATAAATAAATGAGGAAATGAAGGAATGGATAAATAAATGAGGAAATGAATAAATTGATAAATAAATGAGGAAATGAAGGAATGGATAAATAAATGAGGAAATGAATGAATGGATAAATAAATGAGGAAATGAATGAATGGATAAATAAATGAGGAATTGAATGAATGGATAAATAAATGAGGAAATGAAGGAATGGATAAATAAATGAGGAAATGAATGAATGGATAAATAAATGAGGAAATGAAGGAATGGATAAATAAATGAGGAAATGAATGAATGGATAAATAAATGAGGAAATGAAGGAATGGATAAATAAATGAGCTAGTGCATAGTTATATATGATAGAAATGTCACAGACAGTGAATCAGAATAACAGAATAGACAAACTAGTCAGACACGTAGATAGACTGATAGACAGAATTAAATATAGGGCAGACAGACAAAAAGACAGTTAGACAGACAGACAGACAGACAGACAGACAGACAGACATAAAGACAGACAGACATAAAGACAGACAGATAGACAGACAGACAGACAGACAGACAGACAGACAGACAGACAGACAGACAGACAGACAGACAGACAGACAGACAGACAGACAGACAGACAGACAGACAGACAGACAGACAGACAGACAGACAGACAGACAGACAGACAGACAGACAGACAGACAGACAGACAGACAGACAGACAGACAGACAGACAGACAGACAGACAGACAGACAGACAGACAGACAGACAGACAGACAGATAGATAGATAGATAGATAGATAGATAGATAGATAGATAGATAGATAGATAGATAGATAGATAGATAGATAGATAGATAGATAGATAGATAGATAGATAGATAGATAGATAGATAGATAGATAGATAGATAGATAGATAGATAGATAGATAGATAGATAGATAGATAGATAGATAGATAGATAGATAGATAGATAGATAGATAGATAGATAGATAGATAGATAGATAGATAGATAGATAGATAGATAGATAGATAGATAGATAGATAGATAGATAGATAGATAGATAGATAGATAGATAGATAGATAGATAGATAGATAGATAGATAGATAGATAGATAGATAGATAGATAGATAGATAGATAGATAGATAGATAGATAGATAGATAGATAGATAGATAGATACTAATATCTGAAGAGACAGAAAGGTGAACCTTTTGAATGAAAGCAAATGATGTCAGCAAGGAATTGTCTGTTGTTTGTAAGACTTTTCCCGTGTGGGTTCTGGGACCCCAAACGCGGGGGGGGGGGGGGGGGGGGGGGGGGGGGGGGGGGGGGGCGGGGGGGGGAATAGAGCCACTGCCTCCACAACAAGTATGTCGTATGAGTCGACTCATTGGGAGCTTCCTTCGATGTCGAAGTGTGTCTGCCTGAAAGACAAGGAACCAACAATCCGCATGCAGTTAAGTCAGATCTGTTAAACGGATGTTTAACACCGAGGTTCTGGAAAAAGACTAAAGTTCATAAGTGGACAAACAACCAGAACATTTCGATGAAGTTTACAGACAGTGAACGCAGAAAAGAAGAAGACGAAGAATTTGAAATAATTGTAGCTTCTCTATGTGCAAATCATCAACCTGACCTTTGACAAATATCAGTCAAAGGTTATGATATAATGCAATTTGCAATGCAAGGATCAGTTTACATTTTTAAATAGCAATTTTGGTTGCAAAACAAACAATTGTGAGTTATGAGAATCGACATCACAGCACTCCGGACATTTCCCATACACGCTCCCTCTCTATCATCAGTAGCCAGCGCAGAATTCCAATTTCCGATAGTGCAGTAGCAGTCAGATTGCATATTGACAAAGATACGTGAAGAAAGTTATTATGACATCCACGTGTGGGTTGCTCTGTCCCATTGTGGGGCAAACAAGAATAGATCCACTGCCTCCCAACAAGCATCTCATACGAGTCGACTAACTGGGGGTTTCCTTCAGAGTCGTAATGCATCTGCCTGAGAGGCAAGGAACCAACAATCAGCATACAAAAAAGTCATATCTGTAAAACGGATGTGCACGTAACACTAGGGTTCTGGAACAAGTATAAAGTCCAGAGGTAGATGAACAACCAGAACTTTCTGCCGGAGTTTACAGTCAGTGAACGCGAAGAAGAAGGAGGAGAAGAAGAAGAAGAAGAAGAAGAAGAAGAAGAAGAAGAAGAAGATAATGAAGAAGAAGAAGAAGAAGAAGAAAAAGAAGGAAGAAGAAGAAGAAGAAGAAGAAGAAGAAGAAGAAAAGAAGAAGAAGAAGAAGAAGAAGAAAGAAGAAGAGGAAAGAAGAAGAAGAAAGAAGAAATGAAGAAGAAGAAGAAGAAGAAGAAGAAGAAGAAGAAGAAGAAGAAGAAGAAGAAGAAGAAAGAAGAAGAGAAGAAGAAGAAGAAGAAGAAGAAGAAGAAGAAGAAGAAGAAGAAGAAGAAGAAGAAGAAGAAAATAAGAATAATAAGAAGAAGAAAATTATAAGAAAAGAAAAAGAAGAAGAAGAAGAAGAAAGAAGAAGAAGAAGAAGAAGAGAAGAGAAGAAGAAGAAGAGAAGAAGAAGAAGAAGAAGAAGAAGAAGAAGAAAGAAGAAGAAGAAGAAGAAGAAGAGAAGAAGAAGAAGAAGAAGAAGAAGAAGAAGAAGAGAAAGAAGAAGAAGAAGAAGAAGAAGAAGAAGAAGAAGAAGAAGAAGAAGAATAAGAGAAGAAGAAGAAGAAGACGAAGAAGAAGAAGAAGAAGACGAAGAAGAAGAGAAGCAGAGAGCAGAAGAAGAAGAAGAAGCAGAAGAAAAGAAGAAGAAGAAGAGAAGAAGAAGAAGAGAAGAAGAAGAAGAAGAGAGAAGAAGAAGAAGAAGAAGAA